TGGCCTGCGCTATACTGGCGGTGCTCGTATGTTGTTAATGCTTTCGCTAAAATTTGGCATCATCCCCATTTCCGTCCCAGTTGGTGTCCGAGATTTTGACATAGATGGTGAATTATGGGTCAAGTTGCGGCTTATTCCAACTGAACCTTGGGTAGGTGCTGCTTCATGGGCATTTGTTTCACTGCCAAAGATCAAATTTGAGTTGTTACCGTTCCGCTTATTCAATTTAATGGGTATGTCCTAATTTCTTGACTATGATAATGAATTGCATTTTATAGCTAGTAGTTGCAAGGATGTCATAGGGAGGTTTGACAGGGAAGCATGAAAAGTGGTTTACTTTTGTTCTTCTTTAGTTTATCTTTATGTTTATAGCAGGCATCCTTGTGGAGGTTCAATCGTTTTTCGAGGATAGTTTTTGTTTGCATTAAAATTTGACCTTTGGATGCTGACGCACGTTTCTCTTCTTCTTTCCGTGTTTTGGCTGCACGTTTGGGACAACACCAGCTATTCCTGTTCTCTCCATGTAAGTAGATTAATCCTTACTCTTGAATAATTGTTATATAAGTTGGTCAGTTCAAGGCAGAATAGAGACATTTTTTGTTGTAAAAAAATTGATTCTATGACAGAAAGTTCTGTATTGATAATCAATTCATGAACTATACGTGCTAATGAGAGTCTGAATTCGTTATCCATAATACTTGTACTAGAAAAGAGGATTGGTACTATTGAAGCCTTTTGTTTCGAGGATCGCCTTATGAAGTAGTGCCCAAGCGTACTTAAAAAAAAAATCTGATCTTTTGATCAGAATCAGTTTTCTGAATGTCATAATTTTGTTGTGGCGTTTCACCTTAATTTGCTCATACAGCTGATAATTTTAACGGAGTGTTCTAGTCGGGCTTGATTTTCCCCCTTCTATTTGTCATCTGACCCTTGCTTACTACGTTTGGATAGGTTTTTGACAAAACTTCTCACTGAGGATTTACCTAAATTATTTGTACGTCCAAAGAAGATATTTCTAGATTTCCAAAGCGGAAAAGCAGTTGGACCAGTCCCATACGAGGTTAAATCAGGAGATATGCAGAATAAAGATTTTGTTGGAGAACTGTCCGTAACCCTTGTAGATGCTCGAAAGCTTTCTTATGTCTTTTATGGTAATGAATATCGTTCTTTTCTATATTATCCTTTCTTGAAAACCATGTTTTGTTAATTACTGAATTTCTCATGCTTAGCTATCAAGTATTTGTGGTCCTTATCAATGTTGTTGTGGTACTCCCACCTTGTTTTCAGAAACGTAGCATCTGATTAAACTGTCGAAAGCAACTATTTATTCATATAGATTTATGATTCTACATTTTACTCATCGATCCGATCCCTATTTTTCTCAGGAAAAACAGACCCATACGTCACTTTAACCTTGGGTGATCAAAGAATACGTAGCAAAAAGAACAGCCAAACCACTGTAATCGGGCCACCTGGTGAGCCGATCTGGAATCAGGTGAAGCTCATTTCTGATTATCCTTTGTTTTACCAGAGAGGGTGTTCCATGAACAATAGTCGTTTAAGTGTTCCTTGGTTATTTTCGGGTTCTTTTTAATTCTTCAATCTCTTTTATGTACTCACGTGTATTGGTATTCGGGATTTCAGGATTTTCATATGCTTGTTGCAAACCCTAGGAAACAGAAATTGTATATTCAAGTGAAAGACTCTCTTGGATTTGCAGATTTGACTATTGGTAATGCAGAGGTAACTTATCTTATATCTTTCTTTGTAATTGTTCAAACTAAGTTGAGGAAAAACTAAAACTGCTGGCCTGACTATATTTGCTAAGGCCTTTTCTTACATCAATCATTTTGGTCATTTTTAAAGTTGGTTTAGTCTTATTTAAGTCCCAAAACTTGGCTGGCTATTACTGTAATTTGAATTTGCGTTTTCACTTTTCTATAATTTGGGGTTCGGACACCTCTGAATAGCTTTTGGCACTCTGCTCTTAGATAGTTCTATCGAATTAAACCACATGCTCCATCGCTTGTGCGGGCCCCTGTTAATTTTTTTGAGTTTCATTCTTGCGAACGTACTCCCCAAGCGGGATATTAACGTGTTAGCTACAGCACTGCACGGGTCAATACGCACAACGTCTAGTATCCATTATTTACGGCTAGGACTATTGGGGTATCTAATCCCATTTGCTCCCCCGGCCCAGCAGAGTGCTTTCGCTGTTGGGATGGAGTGTTTACTGATGAAAATTATCTTGTGAAATTCTTGTAGAATGTTGTACAAATGAACAAATAACATTGGATGGTCTATTTGTTTTGCATGGTTTTGGGAATCTTGTTAGAAAGAGAACAGTATGTGGAATTGGTAAATGGATGGATGGAAGTTGAATAAAATTTTGGCTTTGTTTTTGCGTATTCTCATACAGGTTGATCTTGGATCTCTTCAAGATACTGTACCAACGGACAGAATTGTTGTTTTGAGGGGAGGTTGGGGACTCTTTAGAAACAGGTCTTCTGGAGAAATACTGCTAAGATTGACATACAAAGCATATGTTGAGGACGAAGAGGATGATAAGGCTGCATCAGACGACGAGTTTTCTGATTCTGATGAACCCGAACCAAATGGCGCTTATGAGGGTGAAACGAATGCTGCAAAAGAACATGGTAAGGAACCATTTATGGACGTTCTGGCAGCTTTGATAGTGAGTGAAGAATTTCAGGGAATAGTGGCATCAGATTTGTTGAATTCTAAACTTCAGAATGATGCCACTTCTACTAGCATGGGTGCAACACGGTCGAGATCTGGTGATGCTGATAGTGACACCAAACCGACAGTTTCGGGCGTTAAAACTAGACGTTTTGCTGGTAATTTTGTTGTTTAGATATCCATTTTGTTATATATTTGATGTGATGCTAAATTTGGATGGTGGTGAAGTGTTTTAATCCGTATAAAACTGCAGAATCGGCACTGTTTTGGTTTGCTGTGATAACGAGTATATCAGTGCTTATTGCTATCAACATTGGTGGTTCGAGTTTCTTCAACCCATGATGTTATATGGTTCGAGTTTCTTCAACCCATGATGTTATATGGTTCGAGTTTCTTCAACCCATGATCCTATATGGTTCGAGTTTCTTCAACCCATGATCCTATATGGTTCGAGTTTCTTCAACCCATGATCCTATATGGTTCGAGTTTCTTCAACCCATGATCCTATATGGTTCGAGTTTCTTCTACCCATGATCCTATATGGTTCGAGTTTCTTCTACCCATGATCCTATATGGTTCGAGTTTCTTCTACCCATGGTCCTATATGGTTCGAGTTTCTTCTACCCATGGTTTTATATGGTTCGAGTTTCTTCAACCCATGATCCTATATGGTTCGAGTTTCTTCTACCCATGGTCCTATATGGTTCGAGTTTCTTCTACCCATGGTCCTATATGGTTCGAGTTTCTTCAACCCATGATCTTATATCAACTAAATGGTCGTGGAAACTTACCGATTCATCAGCCATTTTGCATCATTCTTCAGCCTTTGACTGCTTGTAGCTGGCTGCCTATCTGTCATCAAAGCTGCTGTTGACATACACAGACTGCGTATTCGTATTGAACAACGCATCCTTGGCAGGCTAGAGTGAAGTATACACATACACATTGAATCGGACGATAAAATCAATCAATTTAACCCGTGTTCGGGTTGTATATAAGGCGCTAACAGAGCAATACTCTGTTTGTGGCATACCAATTTTGACTTCAAATTATAATAACAAATGTACACTCTTTCCCCTTGCACCTTCATGTATCCGCTTGTTAATTTTCCTATCCTTTAACATTTATTCTTGCAAATCAACTAATCACAAAACTAAACATAGAACACTCTTGTTTTTGGTATAGTTCTTCCTGGCGTCAAGGAAGAAAAGGATTGTGAGAAGGATATGCTTCCTTCTGCTTTTTGTAAGCCCTGAAAAAATGAAGTAAAGCAATCAACTTGTTGAAAATGGTGGATTTTTTTTGAACAATTCATAACGTTTTGATGCTTCGAACTCACCGGGAAACATTCAATCCTCCAAGTGAAACAGTCCCCAGAATCAGTAACAGGAAGGGAAGCTTGATCAAGGCATGATTTCTTCTCCCTCCTTGCGAGACCGGAACCCCCCTTCTTACAACCCGTTCATATGAAGCTGTTCATAGTTGCTCGTCAAATCGGATCGCAGAATGAACTAACAAAGCCATGATATGTTTACCTGAATGTGAATCTCCTCTTCGGGCACCTGCAAAGATTTCGTTTAGGCTATAATCAAACGTGGAAGCAATTGAATTCGTTTTTGGTGATCTATTGGATCAGCTGTGGATACATGAGAATTACCAGATAACAGGAATGAGTAAGCTTCGGAAATCTGCAGCAGATGATATATCAAATTCTTGGATTCATGAAATGAACGCATTATATAGTCGCGGCTTCAATGGAAACGCGTTCCTTAATCCTTACCAGTTTGAATTTGGATTCGGCCTGAGACTTCTGATGAACAGGGAACAGGTCAGGATGAGAATCCCATACCTTCCTTTTGTAAGCTTCTTTTACCTGTGATGAAGAACAAGAACATAAACACACACATTCCTCAATTACGTATAAACCCTAACCAAACATCCGTCTACTTGGAGCAACAATCGGCCATTGTCTTCTTCAAAGATCGTCGCTGAAGATTCATCTTCAAAATATACTCATATTACTCATGGATTGGAGATCAGAAAGAACGGATTTAGAGGAAATTGAGAGAGATGAGATGTGTATATGGTTTTCATACGGCACCTGGGAAGGAGACGGGCGGGAACCGGGAGAGAATCCGAGCAAGATTCTGGCTTCGTCGCCTTGCATTTCTTTCTCAATATCTCCTTGTCCGTGGTCTCACCTTCTTCCACGTTTATCAATAGTAGCACTCTGCCGCTTAAAAGATTGGTCCACAGCCCAATAACAAAGCATATGTTGGGCTCAAATGCTCCAATGCTAACGGGCTTCGAGCCCGTTTCAGACAACACTTCCTTCTAGGGATTTGAGAAACAAGAGCGATATAGGAATTAATCGAGCGACTGTAGGGCTTGTCCATCACTCCGATCCCTCGCTCCACATTGGCGCACAAATCCTGCATCATTCGAGCCCGTTTCTGCTCCAACTTTTCGTTTTTGTTCTTCAGGTTCTCATCTTCTCATCTTCTATCTCTTTTGATCTCTTTTATTTCTTGTTTTCTTCGTTTCAATCAAGTTATTCTCGGCTTGGGCTTAGTGATGGGTTACTGAATCTTCGCTGTTCTTACGTTGGGAATTGGGATGCTATCGATTATCTGTTACTTTTTGAGATCTTTGTCTGTATTTTTGGAATGCTTGACCTACTAAATCTGTGGATCTCTTCAAACTTGTTTGAAATAGGCGAAGTACGATTACATTGGTTATCAATGGAGCTTATCAATGTAATAGAACAAAGGTTGATGGCCATGAGCTCAGGAGTATGTTTCTTCTAAGTATGATCAACCAGGTACCACTTGTTCTTACTTTTCTTGTGCTTTCTCCTTTGTTGTATAGACATCACATAGCTTGGAGATTTAGTATTTAAGTACTGTGTTGAAGCTGAACAATAAATCGAATGAGATAAAACATAAACATGATTGATGTATCATATTTTATTGTTTTTCTATATCTTTGTAATTTATTTGATGATTATAAGGAGAGTTTCTCCACCATTATAAGGAGAGTTTCCCCACCATTTAAGTGCGATGATTTTAGCAAATATTCTCATGCTATTAGAGCCTTAGAGCCTTTTTGGTTTAGCAACCCTGATCCTTTATTTTCGATGGCTTTTGAATCCTTTACTCATTTTCTTCTCCACCACTATTATTGGGTTCGATTGTGCAGGAGCAGTCTCCATGGCTGCTGGATCGGCTCCACCTGTTTGGCCTCCAAATCATCCTTCACAGGCCCACCCTTTGCCATACTCTATCTATACCACCTCACCTTCTCCAACACAATTGGTTTCCCTTTGGCCAACATAGCCTCTCTCATGTTCTTCCCAATCAGCCTTTCATCCTTCGCAGAAACCCTAATCTTAGCATTCTCATCAGCACGCTCTAATACCATGAGAATATTTGCTGAAACCACCACACCTAAACCGTGAAGAAATTTTCTATTTCTAATTATCAAATAAATTACAAAGGATATGGAAAGAATAATAAATAGAAAGAGTATGACAAATATGATATATTTATAATCATTGAATAAATTACAGAGGATATGGAAAGAACAATAAATGGGATGTGCAATAATAAATACTAGATATTTGACTATAATAAAAGAAAAAAATATGATATTTATGGTAAGCTTTAATGGAGGCAAATATCTAGATATTTGCCTGTAATAAAAGGTCAAATATGATATATATCCTAAACTATAATTTAGGACTAAATATCTTTAACACCCTCATCAAGCTGAGTGTCTAATTTGAACAAACGTGAAGCTTGGATCTGAAAAATTCAAAGAGAAGTCGAAAAACACTTTTTGTAAAGATGTCAGCTACCTGGTTCAGAGGAGATGTTTGGTTGGGCGACATAGTATTTTCTTGGCCATTGAAAACTGTAGAGGGATCATCGGGAAACGTTGATGTTGCCTTGGCTCCGACGAGAACATGTCTAATCCACCCCTGATGGTCTTTTTATTAATCACTTAAAATATGCTTGAGATATTCTTACTCGTGCTCATTTGTTCGATAGCAAACCAGTCCACAAGGCGCAGACTCCACTCTGTCTCTGCCCCTCTTTTTCTTTCTTTGGCTAAAATACACGCCAGAGTCACATTCTCAGTTTCTGCTCTCTTCTTCCTCTCTTGCTCTAACTGCCACCACGTCCACCCTTCCTTCTTCACAGCCACCATTGAACCCTCTCTCTATCTCGGGCCCTTTTCTCAAAATAGAGCTATTGCCCAGATTCTGAACCCTCTACCTTGCGTCTCTATAGTCCCCACTCTATGGTTGTTTCTCGGTGGTTTTCTTTCTCTGTTTTCATACTCTCTCTCATTTCATTTCAATTCCATTTATAACAGCAATTTCTATATCTTCCAATGTTGGATTTGCATAAATTCTTATGAAGATTTTCCATTCTCTCTCTTTTTTTTTTTTTTTGTTCTATTTGCGGCTTGACCAAGACCCTTATAATGGTCCTTTCTCTATTCTCCTTCTTCCTCTGGTTTTCCCCCTCCTACTTCGTGGGTTAGACATATTTTTGTAGGAGCTAAAGTAGCATTGCCGTTACCCAACGATCCCTTTGTAGTTTTCTATGGTCAAAAATACATGCCGCCCAACTAGACGTCTCCTCTGAACCAGGTTGCTGGCATCTTCATAAAAAGTGTTTCTCGACCCCTTTTTGAATTTTTTAGATCCAAGCTTCATGTTCGTTCAAATCTGTCTCTCAGCTTACTGGGAAAATATCCATGAATTATAGTTTACCATATATATATATATATATATATATATATATATATATCATATTTGACCCTTTATTATAGGCAAATATCTAGATCTTTGCTTCGATTATGGCTTACCATATGTATTTGCCTTTTATTATAGCCCAATATCTTGTATTCATTTATTGCTCTTCCCATTTATTAGTTTTTCCATATCCTTTTTTATTTATTAGATGATTATAAATAGAGAATTTTCCCACTGTGGGGTGTATTTAAGTGGGGTGACAGTAGAGAAACTTGTAGAATTTTTGGGAGGATAAAACTTTATAAGGATACATAAAGTTATATTCTTCCTTTTCCACCGAGTGCCAACATATACATACATATCTGTTACCTATTTAAATATATATAGGTAATTTGAGACCTTTCCTAATATATTATGAATCTAAAAACATGCATCATGTACATCTATTCGTACATGTATTACAAGTGATTCTTCAACACACTGAAACACACTGAATGCTGCAGTTTAGGCTTCATTTCATCTTTCTAAACCACATCTTGGTTCTTGCACATCCCGATCTTTCTTTTGAGTTTCTCAAATAATGAATGTTTCAAGGGCTTTGTGAATAGATCTTCAATTTGTTAATCACTTATGCAAAACTCGAGCTCAACAATGCTTTTTATACACAAATCATGCAAGAAAAACAAAATTTCGATGTGCTTACTCCTTCCATGCTAATTTTTAGACAACTTGATAGTTAACATATTATCACAGTAGATAACAGTCGAGCTTGGTTGCTTATGATAAAAAATTTCAAGTATCTTGTTTAGCCAAATTGCTTGGTTGCTTATGATCAAGAATTTCAAGTATCTTGTTTAGCCAAATTGCTTGGCACAAACATGCTGCTTCTACCACAAACTTTGCTTACATAGTCGAAAGTGTCACAATAGACTTCTTTGAAGACAAGCAAAAATTTTCTGAACTCATCATGAAAACACAACTCGAAGTACTTTTGCGATCATTATGTGACACTTTCAACTACAAGTAGAGTGTGTGGCAGTAGCACCAAGGCTCGTGCCAAGCAATTTGGTTAAGAAAGATGCTTAAAATTCTTGATTAGAAACAATCAGGTTTGATTGTTATCAGTTGTGTTAATATTTCAACTATCCGTTGTCTAAAAATCTTGTGTTGCAGGTAAGAAGTAAATACATCGATGTTTAGTTTCATTTCTTGAGTGATTTGTGTAAAGAAGGCTCTGTTGAACTTAATTTTTGTAAAAGCAATGAGCAAACGGTAGATCTGATCACGAAGTCTTTAAAACAACCATTGTTCAAGAAGCTCATAAGAATGACGAGGATGTGTAGAAAATCCAAGATGTGGTTCAAGAAGATAAAGTGAAGTCCTAAAGTGATTTATATAGAATTCAATTTAAGGATGCGTGTTGAAGAGTTACCTACATGAAGATTCATTGGTCGATAATAAATTAGTACATGCATTCTTAGTTACACGTGTTAGATTCGTACAATCATGTTTTTAGATACAAGATACGTGAATGGTATCGAAGAATGTCCCAAATTATGGCACTATCTGGAAAATGAATAATGTAATTTCCTGCATCCTTATTCTATTTGCAAAACCCATGACCTGCCAATATAGTCATTCACTGCTTCTCCCTTTTGCAATTGGTGAATTTCAATGTCTTGTCTCTGAGGCTGAGCACGTTTCATTTTTGTTGAGCCTCTCTCTAGTAGTTGGGGAGGAGAACGAATCATTCTTTATAAAGGTGTGCAAACCTCTTTCTAGCAGACACGTTTTAAAAACTTTGAGGGAAAATCCAAAAGAGAAAACCAGCGGTGTTTTTGGCCACGAAGCTTATTTTTTGCCATGGTAAGTTCAAAATCTGCTTTATCAAGAGGCTTATTTTTTTTTTTTGCCACGGATAAGTTCAAAATGTAAGCGACAATAGCATAGCGTGCTCCGTATCATTGGTTATATAATATTTCGACACACTCGAAAGGGTTATTTTGTTTGGGTCAAAACAGGTATGAGAGACGCACATAAGAAAAGTTGGAAGTATGAAAGTGGTAGACAACGGAACCAGATCACGAAGGATATGAGGTGATTTTATTGGTATATGGTGAGTTTTATTTTCCTTTGAAGTAAAATGTATATATATTTATGGCCTTCCTTCATAAGAGGCTGTTGCTGCATATCATGAGCCTTTTAACATTATTTAAAAGTATGCCATTGAGGAAGCAATGCAGGGGTAGACTCTGGATAGTTCGTGGACGCTCTGTTATTGAATCCTTCACTTCATGTTCTTCGTAGTGGCAGTGAAGACGCAAGAGAAGAGCATTGCATCACGTAGGATCTGCCCACTTTGCATTTGATTCAGGTATAACTGAAAATCTAATTGTTACAGAAATACAATACTACACGTGAGGTGGGGGTGGGGTTATTGTAACGGCACAAGCCCCATCGCTACAAATATTGTCATATTTGGCTTTTCCCCTTTGAGTTCCCTCAAGGTTTTTAAAACGTGTCTGTTTGGAGAGGTTTCTACATCTTTATAAACAATGTTTTGTTCTCCTCCCTAACGAATATGAGATCTCACAATCCACTCCTCTTCAGGGCCCAGCGTCCTCGATGACACTCATTCCTTTCTCTAATCAATGTGGGACTCTCCAGTCTACCTCTTTAGGGCCCAACGTCTTTGCTGGCACATTGCCTCATGTTCACCTTCCCTTCGGGGCTTAACCTCCTCGCTGGCATATTGCCCGATGTTTGGTTCTAATACCATTTGTAACGGTGCAAGCCACTGCTAGCAGATAGTCTTCTTTGGGACTTCTTCTCAAGGTTTTTAAAATCTGTTTGCTAGGGAGAGGTTTCCATTGTTTCGTTCTCCTCCCCAATCAATATGTGATCTCACAATCCACTCTTCTTTAGGGCCCAGCGTCCTTGATGACACTCATTCTTTTCAACAATCGATGTGGGACCCTCCAGTCTACCTCCTTTAGGGCTCTGGCACATTGCCTCATGTCCAACTTCCCTTTAGGGCTCAACCTCCTTGCTAGCACATCGCCCAGTGTCTGGTTCTAATACCATTTGTAACAGTCCAAGCCACCTAGCAGATATTGTCATCTTTGGAGCTTCCCTTCAATGTTTTTAAAACGCGTATGATAAGAAGAGGTTTCCACGCCCTTATAAAGATTATCTCGTTCTCCTCTTCAATCGAGGTGAGATCTCACAGTTACCATACACCTTAAAAAAAGGAAGAGTTTGGTTTCGTTATGATACAACAGAACACAGTCGTGTCGAGAGTGAGTTGATCCTGAAAAAGGGGAAACCTTGATCCTATGGAAGTTAAAACAAAACAAATAATAAAACCAAAAGAAGAGTATGGGGATGGAGATGAGAATATGAAGGCAGCCAGGGAAGAGGCAGTGCATGAGTAGAGGCCCAACAAAGAGAGGAAGGCAAAGGTTTTGTTTTGTTGAGGACTCCATCCATGCGCTGTCTGTTCCCCGCTGCCGTTCTCCCAATCCCCCAAATTCAACAACTACTTGCCCTTACCTTGTGCGTGCCACTTGGGTTTGTTTTGAAGGATCCCTCAACCATTAGTAAAATCTCAAGCTTAAATAAACACCACCACCACCACCACAGCCACCCCTGGCCTTTGCTAGGTAATACTGCAGTACAATGCAAGTACAACCCCCTTACTAGCAGTACCACTACACCATGGATGTAGTACACTATCAATCCAATCTCCTCAGCCTAAGCCTAGCTATCATTGTACTGCATCTGCATGTGGTTGTACTCTCTTATATGGGTTTGCTACTCCTACCAACTTCTCTCCCATCCTTCCAACCCCATCCCTGTTTTTCCACATCTGTATGTTTAAATAATCATCTCCCATATTTAATTAATGAATCATACAGATCAAGACCGTGGAAGAATGCAATGAAGAATTGCATTCAACGACCTTATTTCAAATTTTTTAAAAAGTGTTTCTTTTTCTTTCATTTCTTACTAATACTTTTATATAAACATAGTTAAAGATTTTAATTTTTTTTTTATAATTGTATGTAGGGGTGGATTAGGTTCGATTTCATGCTTGATTAGGCTCGATTTCATGCTTGATTAGGCTCGATTAGGCAATGTACAATTAGGCTCGACTGTGTCATGTTGTACAATGCAAGTACAACGACCTTATGCAATGTACAATTAGGCTCGATTCATGCAAATTGATATTCTTTCCATGTTAAATCACAATGAACTATTTCATGCTCACTAACTAGAACAAGTGGAGCAAATAATGAGAATACCGTTTGTATGTGATAATATAATAATGTATTTGGCCCATCTTATTTTTGAGATGGTTAACAATGGTCCCATTATATAATATTTCTATTTTTAGATTAAATTAAATTTTATTTAATGATGATAAGCTTATATAGAATTTAATAAGTTTAATTAATAAAATAATCCAAATTAATTCAAAATATCAATAAAATTAAAAAATTCATTTAATATCATGAGACGTTATGACGGGCTCGTCTCGATTCTGCTTCCTAGGTGTCGAATTGCAATGTCGTGGGGGAATGTTAGGTTATGGAGTCTGCTCTCTTATTTATAGCTTGGTGAACGGTTATATCCGGTAAAACTATATTTGGTAAAGCTATATCAGTAAAGTTATATATGGTAAATAGCTATATATAGTAGATGGTTAAATCTGGTAAAACTATATATACTAAATAATTATATATAGTAGATGATTAAATATGATAAAGCTATATATAGTAAATTAAACTATATATATATCCCATCCAGCAGAGCTTTGAAAATGTACTTTTTATTCTCTGTATTCTCTCTTATACATACTCATCAATACAAATTCTTTTAGCTAGAGTTCTCTTTGCAATTTTCCCTTTTTTATTCTCTGTCTTCTCTCTTATACATACTCATCAATACAAATTCTTTTAGCTAGAGTTCTCTTTGCAATTTTCCCTTTTTTATTCTCTGTCTTCTCTCTTATACATACTCATCAATACAAATTCTTTTAGCCAGAGTTCTCTTTGCAATTTTCCCTATCCTGTTCTTTGTGTTCGTCTAGATCGAGTGTGTGCGTTGTTGTGCGATCCTAACAACTAGTATCAGAGCTAGGCGAAATTCACCACGATTTGTGAAGATGGAAAGTTCAAAGATTGGAATTGAGAAGTTCGATGGATCCGATTTCGGTTTCTGAAAGATGCAGATTGAAGATTATCTGTACCAGAAAGATCTTCACGAACCCCTGTTGGGGGTGAAGCCAGATACCATGACCACGGAACAGTGGAAGCTCAAGGATCGACAAGCCTTGTGGCTGATCCGGTTGACGCTATCCAGAAATGTGGCGTTCAACATTATCAAGGAGAAGACAACGTCAGATCTATTGAAAGCGCTGTCAAATATGTATGAAAAACCGTCGGCTATGAACAAGGTGTATTTGATGCGGAGATTGTTCAATCTATAGATGTCTGAAGGTGGATCTGTTGCTGATCATATAAATGAATTCAATATGGTCTTAAGTCAACTGAGTTCGATGGAAATTAATTTTGAAGATGAAATTAAAGCGTTGATTTTGATGTCATCTTTACCCGAGTCATGGGATATTGTTGTTGCCGCAATCAGCAGTTCTCGAGGATATGATAAACTGAAGTTTGATGAAATTCGAGATGTAGTTCTCAGCGAAAGTATTCGCAAACGAGAAACTGGAGATTCATCAGGCAATGCTCTCAGTGTTGATCGAAGGGGAAGAAGTAAATCAAAGAGCTCAAACAAACATGGGCGATCAAAATCAAATAACCGGGAAAAATCTCCAAACAGGAAAAGGACACTATCGAACAGATTGTACAAAACTGAAGAAGAAGCACAATCATATATCTAAAGATGATGATGATTCTATATATACAACAGAAGATACTGAGGACGTTTTAATCCTTAGTGTGGTCAGCTCAACTGATTCCTGGATTTTGGATTCAGGTGCATCGTTCCATTCGTCTCCAAGTAAGGAATTGTTTTGAAATTTCAAATCAGGAAATTTCGGGAAGGTGTATCTTGCCGACAAATAAACCTTGGAGATTGAAGGGAAGGGAGATGTCTCCATACAAACTCCAGCAGGAAATCAGTGGACATTACAATATGTCAGATACATTCCTGGTCTCAAGAAGAACCTGATCTCTATTGGTCAGTTGGATAGCACAGACTATGCAGCAGAGTTTGGAAAGAGTTTGATAAGATAAGGAATCAATACAAGGGGAATAAGATTCGGATTACCTTGTCGATCGAATATCTCAAGCCAAGAACACTTTGTTTGAGATTCGAATCACTCCAGAAGCAAGATCGATCATGTCTAGCTTCAATGATTCTTGTTGATCAAATATCTCAAACACTTGTTTGAGATTCGAATCACTCCACAAGCAAGATTGATCATGTCGAGCTTGAATGATTCTACATGCAATCTAAACTACATAGAATTGCAAAGAAACTTAGCCATTGGCTAAAGAAAAGCACAAATGGTTCTTTTGATATATCTTCTAAGTCTGATTACAAATACAACATAGATGGCTTTATATAGCCTCAAAATGAAACTATTAAAGGCATTCCAAAAGTTGTAACATTCACACTTTATGGCCATAATTAGTCATTATGTAAATGTAACCGAAATTAAATAAAAAGTCTTAAAACACAATAACTCTAAATTATAACCCACCCAAAATTTACAACAATCAAACTTTATTCTTCTTCAATGTAGCATGAATTGAAACATCTTTTGATAATTTTGACAACCTTTTCTTCACATCTTCATTGAAGCATATTGTATGATTGATGTCTCTTGGTTCATATCAGAGTTCGTGGAAGATTGTGAAGAGCGCCATGGTTGTTGCACGTGGCACAAAATCCGGAACCTTATACACTACTGCAGAGTGTATAAACATGACTGCTGTTGCTGAGAGTGCTTCCAATTCATCTATGGCACAATAGACTTGGACATATGAGCGTCAAAGGAATGAAGATGCTGACTGCGAAATGAGCTTTAGAAGACTTAAAATCTGTTGATATGGGTCTTTGTGAGAGCTGTGTTATGGGCAAACAGAAACGAGTTAGTTTCACAAAGGCTGCCAGAGAACCGAAGAAAGTGCGGTTAGAAATGGTCCATACAGACGTCTGGGGACCATCTCCAGTTTCATCACTTGGTGGATCAAGGTACTACGTCACCTTCATCGATGACTTCAGCAGGAAGGTATGGGTTTACTTTCTGAAACACAAGTCAGATGTGTTTACCACCTTCAAGAAGTGGAAAGCTGAAGTTGAAAATCAGACAGGCTTGAAGATCAAATGCCTGAGATCTGACAATGGAGGAGAGTACAACAAATCAGAGTTTATAACATTTTGTGCAGCTGAGGGAATTAGATTAATAAGAACAATTCCCGGTAAGGCAAGACAAAATGATATTGCAGAAAGGATG